GCTTGTTTTCAAATTTAAGACAGTAATTTAAATGACCACTCTTGCTTTTCAAACAGGGACAGGATTTCAAGTTTAGACGTTTAATTCAGCTTGCTGTGGAAAAATTCATAGTTTCAGTGATGTTTTTTTTTTCATTAACCTGTAGCAAAAATGTTTTTATTAAAAAGCAAAATAATTCAATAGAATAGATGAAATAGTGCTGCATAATAATAGTAATAATAATAATAATAATAGCAATAATATGAACTGCAATCATTATAATGACAAAGGTGACAAACTAGTCAAGCATGTCCTAGGGTGAAAAGCTGTTGCAACAGACTGTGTTGAAATTCTGTGCTCTGTGTGTGTGTGTGTGTGTGTGTGTGTGTGCGCGTGTGTGTACGCTCCCTAGTTTCTTTGTGTCTATGCAACTTACCCTGGAGAAAGACCTTATTAAGGTGCCTAACCTGAATTTCTTGGGTCCAAAATCCTGTTTTGCAAAGGAGAGACTGACTGCATGTTTGCTGCCAGTCCTAATCCTTCCTCTGATTAAGTGAATGTGATGGCTGTTGAACAAAGCAGTGAAGGAGAAACAAGTGTACAAGTCAGACATGTTGTGTGGAGTGTGTGTGTTTATCACAAGTTTGTGATTAGGATGTAATGTGTCTGTGCATATCTTTTTAAAGGAAGTGGGCCAACAAGACTCTGCACCACATGGCCTCTCTATATCTCACTGTTGACATAGCAACCACAACAGAGGAGGTTGAAGTAGGATGGGGAGAAGAGAATGGGAGAGAAAGAAAGACATTGGTGGGGGGGGGGTTGAGGAATGGATGAAAGTTACTATGGGATCAGCGCCCTATTCTGGGCCTGCGTGCCTCACTGCTTCGGTGTGTTAACGCAGTGCTCGGACCAGATTCTTATACAGTCAGCTATGCCTGCATCTGGCAGAGTACAGCCCCATTTCCAAAAAAGTTGGGATGCTGTGCAAAATGTAAAAAACAAAATGCAGTGATGTGCAAATCATTTAAACCTCATGTTTCACTGAAAGTAGTATAAAGAGAACATATCAAATGTTGAAACTGAGAAATTTTCTTGTTTTTTAAAAAATATATGCCCATTTTGAATTTGATGCCAATAACTCATCCAGAAAAAGTTGGCACGGGGGCAATAAGTTTGCAAAAAAGAAACTGGTGGTTAATTGGCAACAGGTCAGTAACATGATTTGGTATAAAAAGAGCATTCCAGAGAGGCTGAGTCTTTGAGAAGTAAAGATGGGAAGGAGTTCACCACTCTGTGAAAGACTGCACGAGCAAATAGTGCAACAATTTGATGTATTGAAGTATTGAAGTATGACATTTCTCAAAATAAAGTAGCAAAGAACTTTTGCTTTTCATCATCTGTGGTACGTAATAACATAAGTTTTGGAGAGTCTGGAGAAATCTCTGTACGCAAGGGACAAAACCAAAAACGAGTATTTGCTGGCCGTGATCTTTGGGCCCTCAGGCAGCAATGCATTAAAACCAGGCATGATTTTCTGGTGGATATCACTGCATGGGCTCAAGGACACTTTTGAAAACTGCTGTCTGAGAGCACATTTCGTCACTGCATCCACAAATGCTAATTAAAACTTTAAAACGAAAAGAAGAAACTCTGCATAAATAGGATCCAGAAATGCCGCCAGCTTCTCTGGGCCCGAGCTCATTTAAAATGGACTGAGGGGAAGTGGAAAGGTGTCCTGTGTTCTGACAAATCAGCATTTTAATTTTTTTTTTTTTGGAAATCATGGACACTGTGCCCTCCGGGCTGAAGACCATTCAGCTTGTTATCAGTGCACAGTTTAAATGCCAGTATTCATGATGGTATAGATGTGCATTAATGCACATGGCATGGGTGATGTGCACATCTGTGAAGGCACCATTAATGCTAAATGATATATACATGTTTTGACAACATATTCTGCCATCCAGACGAAGGAGAAGGCCTTGCTTATTTCAGCAAGACAATGCCAAACCATATTCTGCGTGTATTACAACAGCATTGCTCCGTATTAAAAGAGTCCGGGTGCTAAACTGACTGCCTGCAGTCCAGACCTGTCACCCACTCATAACATTTGGTCTATTATGAAATGAAAAATACAACAGGTGACCCCAAACTGTTGAGCAGCTGAAATCCTATATCAAACCAGAATGGGAAAATATTTCACTTTGAAAACTACAGCAATTGGTCTTCTCAGTTCCAAATGCTTACAGGGTGTTGTGAAAAGAAGAGGTGATGTAACACTGTGGTAAACATGCCCCTTGTCCCAGCTTTTTTGGAATGTGTTGTTGGCAACAAATTCAAAATAGGCAAAAAACAAAATTTCTCAGTTTCAACATTTAATATGTTGTCTTTGTAGTATTTTGCTTTACATGATTTGCATATCATTACATTCTATTTTTATTTACATTCTGCATAGCATCCCAACTTTGTTTGGAAATGGGGTTGTAATTCTGATACATTAGAGGAATTTGTCTTGATACATTTTGTCACCGTACGCAATGGTTTGCTTTTCTAAGCTTGTCATTGATGGTATCTGTTAGAGATTGCATGTCAGTATTAGTGAGTTTCAGTATTGGGCAGATATCAGCAGGAAATGCAGAGTCAGATTTCAGAAGGAAACGATTAAATCTGATCCAGTCCCGTAATAAACCTAACCTGAAATAGTGCCCCCTCTCATTGTGTCATGTCATGTTATTACTTGTGTATTGTGGGATAGTAGGGCATGTTGGAGTAGTTTGAGCATGATAGCCTACTTTTAGGTACTCATCTTAATTGTAAAGCATTGTATTTTTAAAGATAAAATATAGCTACAAGGAGCGATGTACAGGGTCCAAGTACCAATCAGTTCAGTGAAGTCTAGTACGTCCAACTGAGGCCTTTTTGCAGACAAAAGATAAACAGTATGTCAGACAGTCCTTCATCTATTACGGTTATAGATTAAGTTTAGTACAGATTAACTAGTTGCCATTGGTTTTCTAAGGTGCAACAAATAAGTCACAATACCAGACAGACATGCCAATTTCCAACATAAATTTTGCGTGCCTCGTCTGAATGTAATTTCATAGAACTAGTTTAAATTTTACAATGCGTTTTATGAAAACACTTGTAATTGGAAAGTTATTATGCTCATTAAATTGCATCATTTTAATCCATTTTCATGTCCTCAATTAAGGTATACTTGATTAGATTGTTGAAAATTTGAGTAGTGCCCCCAAGTGGCCTTTGAAACTTCACAGGGTTATCGGGAGTCCTTACACAGGCACACCATTCAAGTATCATGATGATTAGTCAATGTTAGCCTGTCAAATGCCTTCTGAAGGCTTTTTGGCTAATGATGGCCATTTCTAATTGTTATGTCATCATCCCGCTTGTAAGTTAGCCCAAGACACAGCATGCAAATCTCGCCTAATTGGAGGTAATGATGGCGAGCAACAGCTACTTAGCTTTTATAGTGCCCCCTCTTGACACACATGCCAAAATTGACCGGCTACCTCAGACTCTTTTGACCCACAGGCCTATAAAGTTTCATTGGAACAGACAAAGCCTCCATGAGTTACAGCTGTTTTTGTCAGCAATGCTCTAATCCAGAGAGATTGTTTACTATTTGGTGTTTAAAAAAAATGTTCAGTTTTTGGTTTAAAGACTCATTGATTTGTAACGGCCATGGTGTTTACAAATGTCAGTTTTTTAAATAGAATTATTGATGTTCAGGCTCTTGCAGATAATTGAATACCAGTTTCATGAGGATGGAATGAAAACCTAGGACAAATTCACAAAATTTAGTTTTGTCATATCTCATATTTTGGGTGGGAGTGGGGGGTCGAGCGCTGGATGAGTTTTGGTTTAATATGAGCAACGAAATCAGCCTGTATTACAGGCAAAATTATGCCTGTAAGCTTCGCGAGTGGGAGGTATGGGCCAAAATGTAAAAAAAACTATGCTGTAACACCCCTTCAGGCCAATCAGGCCCGATAAGTATCATTACTAGAAAAGAAAAAGTGATATTGTGCCACCTCTATCATAAGTACTTGTGAGAGCATACTTTGTCCAGTTTTTGTTGTGGCATTACGGTTGCATTCTGTCAATATCACTTATTAAACCTCAGAACATGATCTATACTGCAATGTTTTCCATCTAAGGTTTGAAGCGCTTCTCATTCTAACTTGAGCCATTTTAAATTTGTGTTAAATTGGTGGACAATCGTATTTGCACAATAGACAAAAGTACATTACATACCTAAAATGGTTGTATCAGCCATCTTGAAGCCTACATTTTGTCCATAATTTTATATGGAAAATAGATTACTCACTTTTTTAATGCATAAATGTGATTGTTTATTAAGCTGTTGCTTTTATTCAGACTGCAGTGATTCCAGTCTGTATTGTATGAAGGAATGTAGTCCTAGCAATAAAAGCATTCTGTTATTAGTCATGCTGCTGTCTCGCTGTTTATACAGAGCATTAGAAAACCCAAGATAGATTTGTACATTCCAGAACATGGTTGACAGTAGGGATGTTCAAATGAGTGTGTATCATAGCTGGATATGATTATAATCCTCCCAGATAGAACTGTTGAAAGTGATGGGATATGTGGCTTGTATGAATCAGAATCATTGTGACTCCCTTATCAAACTAAGCTATTTTTGACTTCCAACCTAGTTTCCACTTTTAGTTCAGGCACATCTTAACGTAGCTAATATTGTTCTGCAGCAAAGAAAGCTTGTTTTGTAAATGGGTGCTAATTGCTTTTGTGTTGTAGCATCAAAATTTTCAAAAGGACTGGAAAATCTGTTTGGTTGTGTGTCTCTGTTTATTTTTAGAACTCAGTCTGCAGAAAACATGAGGTTGGGGAGGAGCCTCTAAATAATACAAGCTAAAATAATGATGCTGCAGTTCTCCTGCTGTACCAACATTAACCCTCTCTCTCTTTCTCCTTTTTTTCCTCTGCCTCCCTCCCTTTTTCCCGGTCCTCCTTTGCAGACGAGCGAGACAGGGTACAGAAGAAAACCTTCACCAAATGGGTCAACAAGCACCTCATCAAGGTATAGTACAAACTGCTGGGTTATTTTTGTGTTTCAGCTGTGTATAGATAGGAGCTGATAGCCATTGATCTGGTTTTGTGAAATATGCAGGCACATGTGTGCACACAGGTACAGTTCAAGGCTCAAAGGTATTTCACAGAAGTGGACTGTTCTGCTAAAGTGACCAGGCTAAAAAGGCATGTGACAACAACAGGCCAATCCTGCAAGAATGTAATCTTGGACTGATATTAGAATATTTAAATCACCTGATGTAAGGCATCAAATGGTTTCTGTTATCTAAATGATTTTACAGTGCAGTAAAACAGTTTTGATTGTGCTGTGCGATTAGTGAAACAAAAGATATCAGTAAGCAGTTTTACCATGCACTGTATATGCTGCATATGCATCACCTCTGCGTTTTTTTCTCAAGGGTCTTGCCACTGCTGGCATGCAAAAGTTCTATAAGCCAACGTCTGCCTGCTCAGCCTCACTGAGCACAGAGAGGCGTGGAAGTGAGGAATGCTGGGTATTCTAAGGGCAGGGCGAGAAACCAATCAGTGGACAGGGTAATGGAGCCTGTGACCTCATAACTCTGGCTGTATTACTGTAATGTGGGTCAGACTGCAAGCAGCGGGAACCGTTGACACAGTGCTGGTGTAACGTTAGACAAACGCTGGACATTGTGAACTATTTTTACTGAAGGGTTGTGTGACCTACTGGCTGTAATCGGGGAGGCGAACAACATTACTCAGTGATATGCACTGACACTAGAGGAAAATGACAAAGTAGAGAGTAGAGAAAAAAACTTCTCCTGGTTTGAAAGACATAATAAGATAGAGGTTTTAAGAAAGTATCTCTAGAACAGGGGTATTTGATTAAAATTCAGTAAGGTCCAGTTAGAGAACAGGTCTGGAACATCATAATGTCTAACTTGCATCAGGATTCAGTGCCATGTACTGTATACTGAAGTAGTAGTTATATAAACATCTTATAGTCAACAACTGAATGTCAAATCAAATAAAGTACAATTCAGTAATATTTCAACAACATTTATTGTCACTTTTCTCTTTGAAGAGCAGGCAATGTGAAATAACTCCCCTCTGACTCACTTTCTTCTCCGACTGCTGTCTCTCACCTCGTCCCTCCCCTGTGTGTGCATCACTCACTCGAGTCTCTGTGCTCATCGTAATGCATAGATGTGATTGGCTGAGTAGCATCACGTGTGATATTTTCAACGCATGAGATTGGTCTGTGAGTTTCCTGGGCCGCTAAAGCGGTATCGTAAAGGCTAGAAAAGTTATGCCGATTAAAATAGGACCACCCTGTAGAAATTAAATAATTCTCCATAGTTTATCGGTTATAGGTCCAGGTCCACATAGGACAGCGTCTGGGTCCGGATTCGGACCGCGGTCCACCTATTAGTGACCTCTGCTCTAGAAGCTCTGCCAATGAGTTTGGATAGTAGTAATGTATGTAGTAGAACAATGTATATGAGAGAGCATTCCAGTTTTTCCTGTCACATTTGTCCCAGTCATTTATAGTAGAGTGTAATTTGTTATGGTATGTGCATTAGCTATTAAGTATCTAATGAACCCTCCAGGTGCTTGTACTACCCAACTGGGATCAGGCTCATAGTCTCTGTTGGTAGGTAGCATTCACTACTGGTACCTGCTGCCCACATGTGGTGCTATATAGTGATGCAGCAAAGATGACTTGATAAAGGCTGACCACAGACTAAACAGCTAAACATTTTTCACCCAGTACAGTGTATAAATAGGTGTCCTTTAGCTATGTACAGAAATCTAGCATTACCATTTTTCCTTTTTTGGCTATTATGTAATAAGTTGGTATTTTCATAGTTTCACTTCTCATCATATGTTTGGGAAGGCATTGCCATCTTTTGAATTTTTCCAGTTAAGTAAGACCAAGAAATGGCAAAGGTTTTGTTGACATAAAACTGCTTTGAAGCATGAAGGTAATAAGTAATAATATTTTAGCCACAGTATATATGCTTCCTGTCAAACGTTGGAGAATACCTTGCCTTCTTTTAAAAATTTACGTCTTCCACTCAGTTTCATGTTCACCATAGTGTCTTCCTTAGTATGAAGAGAAGTGTTTGCCTAAATCAATATTATCTGTCTGCAGAGCTGCAGAGCCACAGTTTCACGCCAGCAGTTTCACTCCAGCAGGTTCAAGCCAGCGGCATTCAGTCCATGTGCCGACACTTGTTTTGTTTTTTGTTTTTTTTAGCGAGTGTTAGGCTAATCAACATTTTATTCATTTTATGTGGGTTTCCAATAAATTTGTGATAAATTTGCATTAGGCTAATGTTATATTTTAAAGCTTTAGGCAAAAACAAACTTTGAACGCATATAGAAATTCACAGGGTAAATATTACACAAATTACAGATTATGTAGCCTGGGTAAGATAAAGGGTTATGTAGACATATAGCTCAATTAACTTACCCTTAATATGGGGGCTTTATGTGGACACTTACATGTGCAGGAATAAACATTTACCTCAAACAGGCTTAAACTGAGCATAATATAAAGCTTTAGGCTAAAACAAACTTTTTTTGAATGTATTCCTGCTAAAAAAACATAGAAACCATTAAGTGTTTATTTTGGTTTCGGATGGTTTTGTAATGTTTTGGCTTTTGGTTTAACCGGTTACCAAAGGGTATATTAGCAACAATATCTCTTCCTGAATGCTAATATGCATGGCATCACATACAACCAGCACAAACAGTCACTGTTTTCATCATAGACGTTCAACCGGCCACTTGGTTGAAATATGAATTGGGCGCTCGTAACGCTCAACTTTCTGCAGTCAGACCCTTCTCGCCTAAATAATGATTTGAGAATTGATGCTCTTTTTCTAGGCCATTGTTAAAAATTATATTAAAAATCTGCAGCATGGTTTTAATACCTGACAGGTTTGAGTGCTGACATCACAACAAGGGGATAAAATGTGTGGGGTTTGGCATTACAATGTATTACTAGGTCAGAAATATTGTCAACTGTGTGTGTGTGTGTCTTTGTGTGTGAGAGAGAGAGAGAGATTATTGTTTTCCTCAGAATAACTCTAGGTTGCCTTTTTATGTTAAATTTTTGCAAACCTACATAAAAGCTCATTTATTAAAACATTTTGAAAAGGTACACTTATGACAGACATTTTACAGTTATGTCAGATCTAGGGATACCAGGGATATCAGAATAATATCAGTACTGGCATGTATTGGCTTAAGAATCAGCATCAGAAATGGTTAGATTTGATATTTCCAACCATTATTTAATGACATTTTTATTGAATTGAGGAGGAGCAGAACATTTAAATGATGCTAAAATGTCTTCATTTTATTCATTTTACTGCATTTATAACCCTATAGAAATAAAGGTTACAGTACTAATACAGTTGGATCTAGACATATTTTTACATTTTATAAAAGTTTACGTGCCAACGTGCTACATATGGTCATATGCATTTGCCTGCAATTCCCATATCAGTGCATCCCTAGTCAAATCATCAGCTGTGCCTGTAAAAGCAAGCAGTAGCTCCACCTGACTGTCAGGTTAAGTATAGAACAGGTGAGGTCATATATTTATGCAGTATGTTGAAATAGCTCTCTGAAGCAGGTGGATAGGTGTGCATGTGATGACTCATAAGTGAAGCTGTGCTGACTGAAGGGGTGTGTGTGTGTGTGTGTTTAAGTTTATCTGTGTGTGTTTTGTTCAGTGCACGTATAGTGTTAACACTGACCTCTCTGTGCCACACATCAGGCTGAACCTAATTGATGTAGTTGATAGGTCTGAGGCTGCACAGTTGAGACTGCATGATTTAGTGAAGGAACGGCAGGGAGTAACATAATTAACTGACACACTTTAAGTCTTAGTGGTCTTGGGATGTCGCTATTCAGATTAATTCACTTGTGCTAGTCGTCACCCCTTCACCCACTCAGCATTGGTTAGACTGTGGGACTGGGGGAGACCTAGCTAGAGGGAGGAATTGGACATGACGAAATTGAGGAGATAATTGGAAAAATGCCAAAAACTACACTGTTCCATAAAATGGGCCTTTTAAGTGTTAGTGTAGAGCATTATTGAACTACTAATTTCAAAACTTGCATACACATTACAAATATCAGATTTTTTGCAGCTATTTAAAACATTGGGTAAAGTTCGGGGTCACTGATTGACAAGAAGCTCATCATTCAGGAAACAATAGACACCATACAATAAATAAGCAGTCCCTTCAATAAATGTCAGTTCTTCCATGTGATCAGACATACTGTCTCTACCCCACCTTATTTAATTCTCATGCAGGTGTCATGTAAGAGTTGACCTAAGGTGGATTTGTCAAAGCAGGGGGCTGGCCTGTCACTCATTAGTGAACAAGTTTATTCCTCCATGCCAATGATGTCTGTTTTTGCTCTGCAGCCTAGGTTCTTCCTTCTCTTTTATTATTACACTCAAAGTTTGATGCTGCATTGGAGTATTTTGACTAGGACAGAAGGGCAGATGGTACAGTATGCAACATTATGCCATTTTCAATGATATTATGTCCCTTAGGTCAGTGGGGAAAAAAAACTCAGAATTCTATCACCCAAATCTTTTCCTGTTGGCTCTTACCTGGGCCCTTCCATATTTAAGATTAATCCGCAGAGGGGTGGAGGATGAGGAGGAGTAGGGTGAAGATGCCTGGGTAAAGGGCAGGACTCGAACACACTGAATAGCCTGAGAATGCTTGGACATCCTGTCCAGATGGTGCCAGTCTATGGCTCAGTAGGGCTGTCCGCAGGAGGCAGCTGTGCTGGACCTGCTGGATCCTGTGTCAGCTCATTGGCTCACTCTAGTATAGACACACACAAACACACACAGACTCTGAACTCCTAATCCTGTGTCAGCCCACTCCAGCGCTCCACACTGAAGGCCTGTCAGCAGTCTGCCTTTGTCTATTGTGGCTTTATATCTGAATGACTCTGGTTCCCCCTGCTGGATAGAGATAGTACACTAATTTACTTTGCTCTTCATACTGGTGTCCTATTTACTTTGTTAGTGGATACTGGTTCTGAAGTACCCCTGTCCTGCACATTTTAGTGTTTTGTGTTCATACACACTCTCACACACTTACACTCTCTTCAACTCAATGAAAAGATTTGTTTAACATGTGTTGGAGTGGGAAAACATAAGGGACGAGGGTGGGTACTCCAGGGTCAGGGTTGGGATACACTGTTTTGGGTTACTGCTGTTGGTGAAATACCACAACTGCAGTGGATTTTAGGTCATTTGTCTCCAGACAGGCCTGCACTATGGACAGAAGCAGATGTTTTGGTTGTGTACACATTGGTATAATTCGTCATAGTTGCATATGGTCAGATATCATCGCAGAATGAGCATTCACAAACTTCATTGAAGTTTTGGTGTTCATCAGTTTATGCTCTATGACAAATCAGTGTGATCAAACTCATGCCTGGTTAGCGTGTGTAAATTTGAGTGTAACAGTTTATCAGTCTGAAAAATTCTAGAATTGCAGAAAAATAGTCAAAATCATTATCAATACCATAAGTGATAACAAAAATACTTATGATTTATAGTAACAGTTGTGCACACAGGAATCCTTGTAATAAAATGGCACGTAACTCGGTTTGCCGTTATCAGCAAGAACTTTGTATATGTCAATTGATATTTGCAGACTTAAAGTTTTATTAGCTTATTATTCCTTCAGTTTATTTGTAGGTATAAATAATCAAACACTTGAGGATTAAATATGCAATCATGGCAGAATTAGCAGTTCTGTTGCACTTGAATGTGACAGAGCAGCATGTAGCTTTTTCTGATTGGGCAAACTGAATAGACTGTGGCACAGTTTGGGTTTTATGCCACTGAGTTTGAGTGCATTCAGGCGCAGCATAGATGATACGTCATTCCAGGCACTCCTGCTTGCACTCATTTCTACACAACTTCGATGAATAAGGGCTGATGTCTCAAAACCAAATATACTGCAGTTATGCAGCAGTCTTGTCTTTCTTTATTCAAAGACTGGTCACTCACACCGTTGCATAATTTCTCTCTCTCTCTCTCTCTCTCTCTTTCTCTCTGTAGGTGCGGAAGCACATCACAGACCTGTACGAGGATCTAAGAGATGGTCACAATCTCATATCCTTGCTGGAGGTGCTGTCTGGAGTCACGCTGGTAAGGATATACACACACACATTCATCCTGTTCTGCTACACAGTATCCTAAAGCCACAAAGCACGCAGGTCCACTATGTTTCCATGATCATGCACTTCTTCCTGGTACTGAACGGTGAGCATGAGATCATGGTCAGCTGGACACCAGTGCTTGAGCTTTTTGGAGCTGGTTACCTGTGACTTCCTACCATGTCTTCTTCTCAGTGAAAGCAGAACCCATTTAAGGGAGCAGAAATGGCTTGCTGGCTGACTGTGCATAGCCATGCATGGTCACACAGAGTGACCAAAGTGTCTGATGATGTCAGCATCTCTGCATTTACTTTCTGTTTGCCATGCCTATCACCCTGACTCCTAGAGACCACAATGCACTGGAGCATTTTGATGGATAGGTGGATTAATAGAATGACTGCTGACTCAGATTCAGCAGCTCTATCTCCATCTTATCTTTTTTTCTCTCCTGTTCTCTCTCTTATGCACTTTCATTCTCCTCCGCTTTTGTTCTCACTCACTCCATTTCTTTTTTCTCCTCTCTCTTCCTCTCAATGCACTCTTTTCCTCATTTTGCATATTGCATTGCATAATGCCTATTACCTTTTCCTGTGTTGCGTGGTTTTCTGCATTACGCTCTTTCAGACTGCTCTCTTACATTCTTTCACTGTTTTTTCAATCTTCATCCGCTATCCTTTCTCTCTCTTTCTCTCTCCATCTTTCTTTTTGTTTCTCTCTCTGTCGTGATCAGCACAAGGGCGGTTCTACTCTACGGAAAAAGTGTGTGTCTCGTGCCCCTCCACTCATCTTGCTGGGTGGGGAGGAAGAGGAAGATGGAGCTCAGGGAGTATGTGTGACAACCCTCAAATTCCCAGCATGCACACACACTCAATTCTTGTGGCTGCATGTGAGTGGTGTGCACTTAACACATCAGAAGGTCAGAAGGTTGCATATCTGCGTTACATAGTCACATATAGCAAATTCACATTTAATTGGACTGTTTTTCCTCCCATACACATTTTTTACTTTTACAAGTATTATCAGTCATTTTGGCAATAAATGTTTTACATTACAAGTATTTCTTATGAATAGGCACATTTAAAGTGCCCTTCTACGTCACATGCGCACATAAGCAGGCTTATGTGATATTACTTAACAGCCTACTGCAATTTGTACAATGCTAATTGCTAGTGTAAAGTTCTAAGGGACTCGTGACTGAGTAACAGTCTTCGGACATCAGACATGTCTTGACTAGGTGACAACATTTGGGAGTAATTGGGAAATTGTGTAAATATATTTTTTGCTGAACTATTGTTATAAGACCTCTAGAGTCAAAAAGGACAGATTTACCAGCTCCGCTGTCTGCAGGCTCTGAGGCAAGCTGGTTAGAGCAATAGAGTGCTGGTGAGGTGTTGCCTGCTCCTGTCCCCTGCATGGAGCCAATACTGTGTTCAGTTCAACCTTCCTAGAGCCGCTCCTGCTGCGCAGCAGCCTGAATAACCAGTGCCTGCGCTCAGCCCTTAGCACTTCTTTGTGTGTGTGTGTGTGTGGCTGAGTGCATTCGTTTGGCTGCCTGGACACAGAAAGAGTACAATTTTACAAAATTTTGTCTTCACCCCAAAGTAGTAAAACAGATAAGATATGTTTCATGCCTGAGGCTTGCTTCTTAAGTTTTGTACTGGAGCTACAATGCTAATGTAGCTAACAAGAAATGAAAGTTTATACCCCACCAAGTAGCATTTTGCAAACTGCATGCCTTAATCTCATATTAAGTAGGTAATGTCATTTGGTTGTTTTTCTGACACTTTATGATGTTCTGGTATCTATACAAATGTATGATGCATAGCTTACAAACAGTAGTAGTAGCTATTTGAAAGCTTGAATTTCATAATTTTTGTTCACTTTTAATAAATTACAGTATGTCAGATGATGTGTCAGATGCCACACAAGCAAGTCTGTTTAAGGTTGCTTAACATCTTGTTGGAGTTTGGGACAAGTTGTAAGCTGACATTAATTTTTAGCTACATTAGCCTCATTGCTCTAGTGAGAACCTGAACAAGCGAACTTCAGACATTGAACCTGTCTTGGATGATCGATAACACTTAGGGTACAGGGAAAACTGTTTAAATTTAAGTGTGCAAAGAGACAGTTATGTGTCTTGGGCAGTTGTGGATTGTCACTGTGTGCTTGTGCGTGGAATGATGATGAATGCAGCTTTTCTTGTGAAAGAAATTTTGACAGTTTCATGGCACTCTAACTATTCCTACCACTCTGAGCCAAGCTGTTTTAATGACTGCTTACTTGTCGTGCTCTCAGTTTTTCTACTTATTTTGCTGTGTTCGCTTTCACTGCTTTTGGCTTGCAAATGACACCCCTCTGTTCTCTCCCACTGATTTACTGTAAGCTATGAACAATTAATGCACTCATTTTTTTTCTCTCTCTTTCTCTCTCTCTTCCAGCCCAGAGAAAAGGGTCGCATGCGATTCCATCGACTCCAAAATGTGCAGATTGCCTTGGACTTCCTCAAACAGAGACAGGTGTGGGACAAAGGCACACAAACACAAACTGATTTCCTGACTTCCTTCAGATTTACGTGTCTCTGCATCCTTTCCTCTCTCCCAGTTCCTGTTCTTTGATATGGCAAGGAAGAAGACAAAGCTAGTTTTATGTTAGACCAAAAATGGAACTTCAACCTCATTGAGACACAGTATTAAAAAAGCAAAACATATTTATAAAAACTTGATTCACTTCACGTGTAAAAGAACTATTTTGCCTTTCTTTGTAGGTCAAATTAGTCAATATTCGAAATGATGACATCACAGATGGAAACCCAAAGCTAACTCTAGGCCTGATCTGGACCATCATACTCCATTTCCAGGTAGGTTCAATCTTTCCCTACTCTAGAGCCAGAACTGCTGACTGCTTGCTGACTCTTGCTGTGAAAGGCAGCTATTTTGCATAGTCACTCTTTGACATTATCAGAGGTGACTGATTATGGCTAATTGCTGCTGTTTATCAACTACTGATGTTCTGTTTTTTCAGTCAGAGCTACAGGGGTATAAACGTGAGTGAGAAAAGGAAGTTAGAAGGACAAAGAGGGGGTGTGGCTCAAGTGCCAAGAGTACCATGCAGGTTCTGCTATTCACAAGGGGACCATGGAATAATAATAATTTATCATGTAAAGTCGTCAAACACAGATCAGAAAAATGGTTTGTCTGTGTGTGAAATGATTTGATTTGTTAGTTCTGAATACTGCTTTGTTTTTTTTGTTTTTTTGTTTTTTTTTTGACAAGATGTTAGATCGTGTGCATATCATGTAATGGTTATCAACTCTCCTTGTTCTAGGACTGTCTAGTAGAGCACTGTCCAGTAGAGGGCACTGTTGAGATTAAAAGAGGGCTGACGTCACAAGGTGACATAGGGAGCTGGTTGCCAAGGAGATTCTGCTTTGGATGACTCTGCAGGCACTTCAATCAGCATGATTCAGCAGAAAGTGTGGAGGGGATGAGGGGACTTGGTGGGTGTGTGAGGAAAACCTTAGGGCATGATTGCCAAGTGGAACAAGAAGTGTGTGTAAGAATGAAAATGCTGGTCAGAGGTGTTGCTCTGAGATTTTCTGAGGGATTGGGCAACAATGTGATAGTCATCTGGGGTGATGTGTGTGTGAAGGAAAACCGTGGCTGTTGTAAAGTAGAACTTGTGGCTTTTTGTCTGTAATCTTCCTATCAGTTCTGAGCCACTGTGTGATATGCATTAAGATTGCAGCTTTACCTACATTTCACACTAGTCATCAGTTTAAAGCCAAAACCCAACATAAGACACAATATGTTGACACCTTTAGTTTAAGTTATAAGATGCAATCATGTCATCAGACTTTAAACTGTGTTTGAGCTTATTTGGAACAAGTACCAGTCCTCCTTTTCCCACTTGAAGCCTGGAGGCATCTCGCACAGCCACAGGAGGCTAACCATCCTGTGCCTCTCGCTCAATTTGGGACAGTTCCCCGGAAACTAGTGCTGCAATTTAGATTAACTGCAGCCTCTCTGAATTGTCTTTGGGAAGTCCTCGTCTTGACCTCATCTTAAATTTGGATACTGTGTAGAGCCATTAACGTCTAGAGCTTAGCCTCAAGACATCTCTTTGCTCCCCTTGTTGTGACAGGAGTAATTGGTCGTTGTTAGTGTTTGAATGATGGAGGATTGCAGGAAGTATTTCAGTGTAGACTGCAGTAAGCTCAGAGGAGCTGGTGTTTTGTAAGATCTATTCTAATGGTGTGTGTTCAAGAAGAAACCAGTTGTTCACTGTGCAGTAATCATGTGATGAGAGAGTCATCAGACTGCTCCCAGCAGGGCTGAATACTCAGGAACTCCTGTTTCCCATTACTGAAAGGTTGAGGCAGTGGTCTCATTACTAACGTGTTGTTGGCACCCCCTGCATCAGAAAATGAAGACGGGTATACGATAACCAAATTGGAGGCAAATGCGGATATTTACTATTTTTATTTGTACATATATGTTGATACCGATACATAAACATTTAAAAAATGTAGAAATTGAGAATACATCTACCAACACTTTCAATAAATACAATAAATACTTAAAATATTTGAAATATTGGTCAAATCTAAAAATCTGTCTGATGCCAGTGATTTATTTATTCATTTTTTTAAATTGTCTTCTGATTCCGTATGATTCTGGTATGATCATCATGAATCCCTGATGTTTATAATGCAAACACAGCACAAACAAATACTTTTTTTCCTGAACGTACAGAGTACCAACTTAAAGTAAGGGGCCTCTCTGTCCAGCAGTACTATACAAGGAGCAAGAATGTTGCTGGAGGGGCAAGTTAATGAATTACTGCTCAGGCTGCTAATTTGGGCCACAGTTATAGGTGACACAGTGCTTATTAATTCATTGACAACCTACGCAACGTGAGTGTGAGAGTGTGTGCTCGTGCGTGTCCTGGAACAGGATGCATTTCTGTGTTATGGCACATTTCTGTGTTGCATTAGTGTGTCACATTATTGCATGATGATTTGATGCCACATTTCTGCTGAATGTGTACAGTGAAGTGATATAGTAAATAGTCTGTTTTTGTCTCCTTACCTTTCTATTCTGCAGCTATTCTGCAGCCTCCCCAGTAAGGTCCTGCTTCTCAACCCCTCTGTCCATTCATTTCCATCCATGCTATATTACAAAATAGGGATTTCTCTGTTTCGTTTAAGAAAGTGTGCAAGCGGTACAGAGTGTGAGGCGAAAGGCTTTTTGGCAGAGATGCAGCAAACAGATTTAGAATCGATCCCCTGCCAACTGGTCTTAAGGTTCTTCAGTTTTTGTGTGTGCATGCAAAGCTTCAGGCTTGCAGGGAGCAGAGAGAACAAGTGAGAGAGGGAGAGGGAGAGGGAGGGAGTGACGAGGAAGCAGATAGGAGGAGAGTGAGCGAGAGAGAAGGGAGGAGGGAGGGATCGACAGCAGCAGCAGTGTGTTGTGTGAGGCTGCAGCAGACTGAAGATAAAGCTTTTTTGCTGCCGGTGTGTGCCAACGAGGGAGAGAGAGCAGACGGGTTGCCCAGCGACAGAGCGAGGAAACGGCCTGGCTGCTGCTACTGGAGCCCCCGGCTTCTCTCTGACGCAGGCCTCCGGAGCTTCACCACATACAGGCGTTCTCAGGATCTGAAGGATCGCCCAGCCCACCGGCAGAAACACTCTTTCTCTGCCTCTCTAACACTCGCAGACACAATTACGTACATACCGGATCAATTGGATCAGCCCCGGGATGCTTGAGCGATGGAGCTCTGCTTTCTCTTGGACTGGAACGGCTGCTCCTCTCTGCAGCTGCCACGAAGCTCTAGGCAGTGGATAAACTCCCCAGTCTCACCCACATTGAGTTCAGTCAGCCAGCCCTACCCTACCTCTGCTCTAATTAGATTCCTTAGCCAGAGAGGCCAGCAGCACCAGGGAGCGGCACCCTGATCGCCTGTGGAGAAGAACACCTTCAATCGAGAGACAAAGAGAAGACGGGAGCCCAAAACTGAAATCCACAGATACCTTTGGTCCAATGATGGGATAAGCCACAGCCACAGGGGGATAGTGGGCTTATGTGTTTATGCATGCGTCGGTCTTTAGGGTCTTGACTCATCACGCTCTCTGGCCTCTTTATCGACGCATGCAAGATTGACGGTCTTCTCTCAATGCATTTGATATCAGTTGCCGTGGCAGCAGAGGCGAGACGCCCTGTGCTCCCTCCTCCTCTTGCTGCTTTTTAATGTCTGGAGACTGATCTAACCCTGCAATCCCCACACAAGGGACCATGGGATTTAAGGAGATGCTGTGCCATGATTGGGCGTGATTGAATTGCTGATGAGCTGTTGGGGGCTTTGCTGACTCAGCTCTTTTAGCCACCACCAGCTGATCTGAGACCTGCCACACTTGTCTATTTCCAGTCCCGTGTTGGAGTACTATCAGAGCTACTACTACGCCGCTACTACAGTTACAACTACTGTTATTGTAACAGCACACAAAGTGGCGCTATCAATAATGCGTTCTAGTAGAATCACATTGGACATCATGCAACATTCGTTCTGGTTTGTGTTTACTTGAAAGTGTAGGGGAGTCATTGACCACAAGCTACTATTTTTTTGTCAGGCATGCAGTGATGTGTCCTGACTCAGACTTACCGACTATGTGTATATGTGTATGACAGAGTGTGTGTATGTCTGCACCGCAGCCCTGTCCCTGCTCTCACTGAGGAATATCAGCAGGAGGTTGGGGGAGTGTGAGACAGCAGTCTTGTGCCAAAGTCTCTGCTCTTGAACACGCAGCCTATGGGCCATCCTAAAAGGATTTAATTTGGTTTGACTTCTTCATAAATCGGCTCTGCAACTTGTCTACATTGACGGCGGAAGATAAAAAGGCATGCTTGCTGGTAACGTGAATATTTCATAAGGAGAGCAGCCTATATTCAGTGTGGGTGTCCTTGAAGCTTTGTAGGACCCCACAGTGACGTTGGCAAGTGAGTGAAGGGCTGACCACAGCATTGCCTGTGCGTACAGAGGGGGCAACAGGAAAAACAGCAGCAGGTGTGCAGTGCAGAGAAATTTTTGATGGCTGCTGCTGTTGCAGTACAACCACAGCTAATATTGGAAATTTGGTTCACTCTGTAGGGGTAATGATACCTCAGCTAGGTTGCCAAGATGACCACAGGCTAAAAAGGCACCAGATGTGAAATGAAAGTGTCTTCGTTAATTCTTCTTTCCTGACTGCTGTAACTTCTAACTTTTTTTAGATCATTTCACCTATTTTTGTCCTCTTTTGGAAATGGGGAGCTCTCTTGGTTGTGTAAAGCAGCCTAGGGAAGTGGGACCGGGTGGCATCCCTCCCCTGTCGCCCAAGAGGAAACTCCATTTCAGAAGAAAGCGCAAAGCGAAAATGGCACGGAAAGATCTTGAGTCAGAGTCTGAGAAGGAGGAGGTGGTTAGAAAGGTTAGACTTAAAGAGGAGGCCAGAGCAAGTACCACAGATGATCCTTCAGCCAAACCAAGTAGTCAAACAATTAGTGAAACTCCCACCCAGGTGGTCCTAGTTCCTGGTGCAGCCCCTATATTGGGCAGCACAGGTACTCTGCGTGGAAGCAGGGTGGCTATCCTATCCCCTGATCCCAGTCCAGCGTGGTTGGGGGCATTCCACCATGCACTGAGAGAACAGGTTCGTGAGGAGCCACAGGCTGAGGCTGCCCATTCCACACCAGGAGGAGGCAGAGTCTGTCGTGTACGAGAGAAGGTTCAGGGAGTTGTAGAGAGACCTTGTCTTTTAAGTGCCGAAAAGGCGGAACTTGAGGCAGAAGGAGAGGAGGATGAAGTTGGACAGAATGAACTCTT